GATCATTAAACTTAGGGGCTATGGTTCCGTTCGAGAAGGTTTTTGGACGATTGGTCATTAAAACAAAAAAGCTAAAATGTAGGCCATATATATCTTTTTAAGGCATTTTCTTTGTAAGTGTATTCTAGCCTAATTTAGAATTCCATTTTGCTTACATGCAAAGCTAATAATTGATTTGGGAATCAACTAAGAATAGAATATGGTTAGCATTTCTCATTTATTATTTTGCATTATCTCAATTATTTACTTTCTGTTCTATCTCTCATTTGTTTCCCACGATAACTCCTAGCGGCATTTTAGTTTAGGTCTGTAATATATTGATTGATGATTTCTTTGAGCTACTAGTAATATGCATATAAGTTCCAGGGCGCTTGCTCTTAGAAATCGTTTAACGATTTATTAACGAAGCGGAAAACCCTTATTCAACAATCTCTTTTCATCATTTGTCTATGATTGATAATTGATAATTAAATTTTAATTATGATCTTACTCTAATGGTTCAGTAAATAATTCTAATTGGGGTTGATAATGGACTCATTACCTATTTTTATTGGTTTTCCGTTAAATTTAATGATTGCAGATATGGAGATGATCGTTTGGAACTTATTGTAAATTGCTTTTGTTTTTTTAATTAACATTTCAATTCATCTACAAAAATTTAACTGAAAAGTACAACATATTTCTGAAATTGATTGCATTAATTCAGCGCACATCCAAAAGGTAATTTTCCAATTTTCTAACTCTCCTCTACTGGAGCACCAAAGCGTAGCCTGATCACTATCAAATTACTAGGAAACTTTCGAGAGAAATTAAATAAAATTGTGGAAATTTCGCGCAACCTCGTTAACATTTAGGCAACAAGAGGATTTCAAGAAATGTGCTACTGTTTACATAGCATTTAGAAGCTACAAGTAGTTGAGGCAGAATTTTTTTCAGCTTGTTTTGTGCGCTATTTTTTCTAATAAGATCAAAAGGTTAAAAACAGAAAAAAATAGGAACATTATTTTGTTCCTTTTGGCTTAGGAATTAAGTCACCATTTTATGTGACGTAAATAATTATTATTTTCACACTGCTATATTATTTATCATTGCTCTATTTATGCTTCAATTAAATACAAACCTATGGTATCGCGTTTGCTTGGGTTTCAAGGTTAAAAACAATTTATTGTCGATTAGCGAGTCAATTGAGGACGGATCCGAATTAATTTCTCGGGACAATGGGTTAACTCGTATTTCTTGTAAAATGGGAATAATTATCACCCGAAAGTTGGCGGTTGGTTAGTGACAGCCAAATTTACCAAATAAATCTATTTCTACAAAACGCAATAGAACTACCCATTCTCCATCCTCCTCGAAGATTAGTTTTAAACTTAAGTGAGGCCAACACTTGTTTTTTTTTTTTTTTTGTAAATACATACTTACCTCGTGAGGTGGTTTAGTTGAACTTTTTTTGTCCCTCAAGCATTGGTATTTCAAGGGAGTGTGAGGCTCTGGTCTAGCCAGCCAATACTTTCCCCATTCCCTTTGCATAATCATCCCTGGGACACCGTTGTAGTTTTTACGTCACATTGGCGTGTGGACGAAATATTACTTCTGGGATATTTTATCTCAATTTTCCATTTGGACTTCTTCTTCCCAATCACCAGAACCCACTTGGCGTCGAGCAACAGATAGCCAGCCAGTCTCTGACTCCTCCTTTATTTCTTCCTCCATCATCCTCTTCTTTTTTCACCCTTTCTCACTCTTCATATTTCTCAAAATTTTCCACAATGCTTCTCAGCAGTATTCTTTGAGCTTCATCTCCAAAAGTTAGTCTTGTTATTCAGACTCACTTACATCTTTATGTCGTCTGAAGTTGATTCATTGGAAGACGGTATGCTGTGGAATATCTCACCTATTGCAGAACCAACATTTTTTCAGAGTCGAGTGGTTCCAGTTATTACTTTTGAAATTTTCTTTGTTGCTTAGTGTAGTTTGATTTGTAGCCTATTCACACTGTTTAATCCTAAACTTTTATTTTTAATTATTTAGTTTTCAAGCATGATGCTCTGTCAGTAAGATCTAATACTTGTAATGTTCCGATACCGTATATAGTCCGACCGCCAAATGAGGAAATGCGCTTGGACCTTGAGTTAAGGTACAACGTATATTTTATGATTGATTTTAGTACTATTTAATATACTGAACCATAATATGAGGGGTGCCAGAATGGACTTTTGGGCAGTGCCAATCCTTTGTTACTTGGAAGTAGTATGGGTACCAAAGAGTGTGTTGCTTCATTCTTTGCCCATCCATAGTCAGTTGGATTCAAGGGTGTAGGGAACGGAGATGCTGCTGCGTTCCAAATGCAAGGTTGCAAATGGCATCGTTTTATATGTAAATCAAATGCCTCTGTTGTCGGAGGGGGTTTCTTAATTTTAGGAAGAATTTTCGTAGATAACCACATTTTATATCGAACATCTGACAAGCTGTGAACTTCTTTCTTGTAGCCGTAGCAATGTGCAATAAAGCTTGTACACTCTGCTATACATTGTTGCATTGAAGACTCTACACAACCTAAATGTTTAATTTCAATACCAAATCTCAGAACTTGTATGTACAGCTTTAGACTTTCCAATTCCAAACAATTGTGAAGTGCTATCAGAGCCAGTGAGACAATGCACTGCTAACAATGAGTTTGCTTGGGTTCCCAGATTATAAACTGTTGCTGCTATATCTGAGAACTTGGCCTTGTCAACAGACTCCATCCACACAGCGCATTTAGGATTTAGCTTTCTGTAAAAGTGTATAAGCAGAATAAAAACGTCGGTGTCATCACATAGAATCTTGATATTGTGCACAACTTGACAGACGAATAGCCTGCTGTACAATTATAACTTCGCTTCTTCATGGTGAGTGTTTCCAAATACGAGCGAGGAATTACAACGACAAGAAATGTGTCCTGTTCTTCAACGTGCTTCATGATCACTGCAATCACATTGTCAATAAAACTGGCACCGCTCATATTATGATTCAGTGTATCAAATAGGACTAGAATCAATAATAAAACTTTAGTTGTACCCTACTTCAAGGTCACATGGCCCGACTAATATTGGAATCTACTTCTTTGTCGCTCACTGCTCACTATGTTCACTCTAGTTCTCGTTCATAGACTCTCCCGTTTTGGTATATTTCTTCTATTTCCTTAACGAAAAGATCAATTCGGTAGATCGCCTACAACTTTTATTATTATTATATTACAACTTCTATTGCAACTACTTCGTAGATCCCATTATTTGTAACTTGGCTCCATATTGATGCAGCATACATTCATTTGACCTTTACTGGTACTACCCACTCAAACTTGAGTCCGTTCAAAATGCATCCCTGTCATAAATGCTTCAAAATTCAAGTTCAAGTTAAACTGAACGATTAGGAGCAGAAATTCGGTTTCCGCTTTAGTTTTAAGAGTTATTTTAGAAGCATTTTCACATAGTTGTGATATCATGAAACCATTTGATACCGGGTTACTCTCTGGTCTGTCATTAACGTCAGTTGAAACCGATCGGTATCAGAAGGTTATGAAATGTTTTGGTATCATTTCGCCGTCGTTGTTTGTTGATGTTAATGTTAATGTCAATACAGCTTGAAATAAGCATCAAATGTGATAGTAGAACATCCATGTTGAAAAAGGAGTTTTATTAACATTATGGTGGTTGGCGAAAGGAGAAACGCTATTTTCATATGCAGATAGGTTCAATGTCGGAATATGTGCATAAGTCGTAAAAGCTGACTTTTGAACATTATCGAATAATAAACTCATTAAAACAACTAAATTATCATAACACAAAACTAAGTCAAATCTGCGAAATTCGGCATTCATTCATTCAATTACATAAATAAGCCAAAATCTAACTCCAACCCCTCATCCCGCGTCTTCATCCCGAGATTGACGGACCGAATTGAAACCAGGTTGCCGAATGACATAATGAAACACTTTGTGAAAACGAGTGGTATGTTATGGTTCATGATACCACATTCATACCAAAACTCGTGAAGACGATTTAACTATTATTCTACACCGATTACTTAATTTGTCCCATTTTTTAATATGCGACAAGTTGATCTTATTCAAGTTAATAGACACATTCTCTAGATACTTTGACTTCAAATCAAATATTTCTCCAGCGATATAATATGAAAATATTTACGTATTTGAGCCAATCTAATTGTTTCAAGGTGAGTTACTTTATTGAAAATTCATTTATCTAATTACAAGCTGAAACTATTATAGATTTTTTGGCCCTAATGTTAATGCGCAAATTTAGAGATAGAAATACCGTTCCATATAACATAATCATGTCAATATCAAAAAATAATTAAATTACATTCAGCTTAAATTATTGTTGTTTAATTGTGTCAATATTTTTGAATGATCAAATATTTCACAAGTTATTTGCATAAATTTACAATAAATTCATGTAAGTATGCCATAGAAGTCATAAATCAGCTATTAATTATTGGGGAACTGGAAAATAAAGTCAATTATTGTATATTGTTTTCGGGAGCCTTTAACCTATCAAATTTTTAACAATCCCATTAGGATACAGTGTAAAAAATATTTTCCCATCATTAGGGATTGATAACTTTAATATGCAATAATAATTTTATTCAAAACCCATTAAACTAGCTTTTGGTGAAAGCTCTTGGCACATAGATCACATAAATTCCGTAACAGGGTCGTCATATTCTTTTCAAGCGACTGGTAGGTCAATAAATTAAGCAGCGATGAATGAAATGTGTGATTTGGGGACAGAGGGTATTTTTAACACAACCATTAAAAACGTTTATTATAATGTTATTTGATTTGTGTAAACAGTATGTGTACTACTTTGAAGAAAATCTGGAAATGATGTCAGTAGCTTTTGAAGTGGTTTATTGATGTTCCAAAAACACATTATTTAGATGTAGTGCCTCGAAATTTCAGAATCTTGATTTAATATTTTTAATTTTTCTTTCAGGTGATCCAGCCATGAAGCGAGGCGCTGACGGTGATATGGGAAGCCCACAAAAACGCTCCAGAAGGGCAGGAGATGAGGAAGTGCGCATGTTAATACCTAGTAAGGTAAGTAAAGAAAAATATCAATATATATATATTTTTTTAAATACGAACAAGTATCTGTGACACAAAAATGTCCAACCAAATGGATGGTCTATCAGAAAATAACTGGAGCCAAAAGGCAATCTTGTAACAAAGCCCTAAAAGCGACATCAATATTTAATTCCAACAAATCCCCAAAGCAGAAAAAAAAAACAGCCAGCACGTGTAATGTCCCTTGTCTGGTCCACATTCACATAAAGTCAAAATTGTGTGCTTTTAGCCTCTTTTTTCTGTCTTTCTGGGGTGTCAATAAATCGTGGCGGCTCGGCGTCGTGGAGAAGAGCCGACGTTGATCGATACCAGACTCTTGTTTTTGATTATGGAATTTTTTTCAGAAGAAAAAACAACTTCTGTGTTGGTACACACATTAAGGTCATTACTTATAGTTATTTACTGGATAATTGCTGCAAGTGATACATTTTCATACATGACCGTACCATACACCTCAATATTTACTCCTCTCAAACACTAATGGCAGGACTCGAGTTAATTTTTTAAACCCATGAGCATGTCCCAAATAAGGCCATGTACCTAATAAGGCCAGAACCCTTTATTGCCTAATATTGAATCCCATTTTCGAAAATTACAATATTATTAAAAAAGAAATCCATAATGCAAATCAAAAATTATTGTAAGGGTTCCTAGCAACTCGTCATATGTGGAAAAATGGCCAACCACATATTTCATATGTCAAGTTATAACTTTGAGGCTGGAACTCAATTAGCTTATTATACGTGTTTATAAAGTGAATGGAATGATTGTAATTTTTTTAAGAACATTTATGTATTGAGAAAGCTACAGAGTAAGTACAGAATAATATATTTGTTAGATTTCTAGTTAAAGACTTTTTTTTATCAATTTAACATGTTCCTAATAAGGCCATCATACGAAAAATGTTCAATTGGCCTCACATCACAGTGTTTTTTTTTTAAAAGAATGTGTCATATTATTATCTGAGTGATGTTTTTTGAAATGCCTGGAGTCTAACCAAGCAAGAGATGCTGCGGTTCATTTGTCCTAGTTGTATGCAGACCTATTTGGATCACCATCCCAGGACTTGATATTATTGTTTTTTTTAGGAATGCAGCAAACGTATAAGTTCTATTTTGTGTACTATTTCTCAAATAATAATATTTTTATAAATATTCGTATTTATTTTAAACATTTTTTAATTGTGGCCTTATTAGGAGCATAGCGATCCAAATACCGCCAATGGTAAGCGTTTTTGTTTTACGCAAAAACCACCACTTATATGAAAAAATAAATAAATTGGAGTTAATATTCAAGTAATAGAAGAAAAACACTTCACATATAAGCTAGTGATTTTGGTTGGGTTTGCAGGATAATGTTAAGAAAAAAATTAAACTTCTTAACATGGCCTTATTTGGGACAGGTACCTTATACATTTTGTCGTCAAACACTTGATGGGAGTGCACACTGTACAGGGTATCCCAAATTCGGGGGCCAACATTGGGATATCGGTAGCCGTTAGAGATATGAGGGTGCTTAAATTAGACGAAAGTTGCGCATTTTGATGCTTAACAAAATAACGTTTTAAAATTTCAGAAATTCCTAATACTTCTGGAAATATCCAGGTTTTATTTTAAGAGATCGAGAAAAATCAAGATAACTTTCTTGAAGCACTTTTGGTTTCGTGATATTATTTTAGAAATTCGAAGTTTATTGAAGTAAGTATTGAAATTGTCTGCTACTACTTGAGGAATTTCTTTAATTGGACAATTTTGGTTGTTTTTGCTTTTGCCTGTAATTTCATTGCATATGTATTCCACATAGTTTTGTTTTTGTTGTCTGATCTATTGATTTTATTCTCGAAATACAGGGTGTCCTTAGATAAACTGACACATTTTAGAGATGAATATCTCGAAAACGAGAAAAGATAACGGGATGCGGTTTGTTCTGGAAGAATAAGGATTTTTTAATTTTTCATAATATTGACAAATCCTGAAATTTGGTTTTACAGACATTCGATTTTTTGAAATAAAAACATACTGCGTTATTCTTGATGAAACACTTAGTATATTTTGTCATCATCAGAAAGCGTGACTTTTCTAGTTCCCAAAAATGTTTAATTTTTTTCAATTATCATGAAATTAAATCGTAAAAATTGCACTTGGTTGAAGGGCGTACTAACTGTCGACTGGACAAAAAAAAAATGATAAGAATCAATTTGTGTTTTATATGCACATATTTGTGTTTAATTCTTGTATTATCAGTTAACTATGCCCTAATTAGTTATCAAAAGTATTAAACACAAATTGATTCTCAATTATTTTTTTTGGTTAGTCGATGGTATTCCTTTCGACAAAGTACAATTTTCACGATGCAAGTTTAAGATAATTGAAAAAAATTATACAATTTTGTAAAGTAGAAAAATCAGGCTTTCTGACGATGACAAAAGATACGGGGTGTTTCATTAAAAATAAGGCAGTTATTTTATTTCAAAAAATCGCATGTCTGTAAAACCAAATTTCAGCAAATTTCAGGATTCGGCAATAATGTGGAAAAAAACTTTGAAAAATCCCTATTCTCACAGAACAAACCGCATCTCGTTATCTTTTCCCGTTTTCGAGATATTTACCTGCAAAATGTGTCAGTTTATCTAAGGACGCCCTGTAGTTTGCTTTCTCCCTTCTCAGACAGGAATCATATTCTTTTTTCGTTTCTTTATACATAGGTATTATTATATTCGGGATTTTGATTTTTTAATAGTAATAAAGTGTTTAACCTATTTCGAATTTTATCAATTTCAGGGCAGATTCCTAACCTGAATTTACATTTTTTATTGATCCAGGGTTGTTTAGGAAAGCACTCATTAAATATACCTGAAAATATTGACATACACCTCTCCACTGAGCGTCTACATCAGACTTTTTCACAGCTAGAATTGTTTCCCAGTTTTGGTTACTTGATTTATTTACAAAATCTGTTTTTTTCCTCTCCCCAAATTTTCTTCGAAAATACACATGTTTTTCAACTGAGGGCAATGTAAAAATAATTTTTTGGGTAAAATGATCTGATACATGCATGTTAAATACACAACTATTCCAATTTTCTAAATTGGTAAAGATGTTATTGATGCCACTTTTGGAGTTGACAGTGATTCTAGTATATATGCAATAAACCAATAGGTTTATTGTTACTTCTAAGTTGAACGATTGTATACAATATTCAATAATATGTCCATTTTGTTCAAACATTTCTATATTAAAATCACCTGCCATTAACAGTATCATCTGTAAGCCCTTCATATTTGAAGATGGGGACAGCCTTAGCTGTCTTGAAAGCAGCAGATAAGCGCTAGCATCAATACAATGATTTATAAAAGGGTACCTCGATAGCTACTCTAAATAAATCAGATTGCAGGGAGATTATTGATAAGGCATTTGCTAATTTAGTTTAAAATGCCTATTCATACAATTATTGTCAATATTTACAATAAATACAAATTAGCCCAAAATTATGTATTAATTTAATATGCCAAATGCAGATTTTTCTCATGTTTGATACCTATACATATTCTTTTCATCAATAATTAATTGATGCCGATCTATCTCTTCTTAAAGAGCTTGTGACACAAAAGCCCCAGTCATCTTTCAGAATGCCGTTTTTTTGGTGGCAAGGTATGCCAAGTCCTCGACCAATGAGAAATGTATTAATTAGCGGGTGTTGGCGTGCAGAAGCTGGGGGGTGAATCAATCTTCACTACCCCAAAATCCGGCTTTTTGCCTTATGAGGCAGAAGCTTTTTATTTTTGTTTTAAGTGAATAGTATGGATCTGCTGAGGTCTAAACAGGAACGGTTGGCCTTTCCTCCCCTCATCACCATGCCCACTGCGTTTTAATTCGCTCCAATCGCGCCTGCCAAGGGAAGGTCCTATCCCACAGGTCAGTAGGACGAAAAAAAGTGGAAATTATACATTTCTACTTCCTCGTCCGTTCTGTGCTGGGTTGGCAGTCGGTTGGCGCTCTATCGTTTATTCGAATATATGTTTTTGGGAAATTGGATCTGGTTTCTTGTGCTAAATAAAATGTTTAGGTATTAATTTTTTAAATTTTTCAGTTTTTCTTTTTTTATTTTGTTGAAAATAATAAACCATTGCTTACCATATTTTGGAAAATTATATCTGAAATGTTCCGTACAAATTGCACTTCGACATGCAAGACGATTTCGCCATGTTTTGATAGCAGACATAAATTGTTTCAAAAATAGGATAGTCCACTATTTTGCATCCGCTCCTTTGAGTTTTCAAGTTAGAGTCAAAAACTGTACTCAGTGACCTTAAGAGGGCGTTGATGACGCAACTGACAGATTTCAAATCTGCCAGTTTTTTGCTCTGATTGATTGATTTTTTTAAATTCGTCTACATTGGGCCATTGAAGGCTGAGAGTTATCAAAAGGAGGCCGAGATCTTAGCCATAGGTACTCCACAGTCGCGTTTTTTTTTTATTGACAAAGCTCTGATCTTTAGTTTCGATTCGACTACTCAACTCCGTCTGGTTTTGTTGCCTTATGATTTTTCATTTGCTCCAGAGCTACACTACTCGTTAACGCTTGCAAGACTCAAACTGATAATCCAGACAGTATTTAACAATAATAAAGAGTACAGTAAATCGGCCATTTTCTCTAACGTCCATGCAGATTATTACAATCCCAGTTCGTGTGTATAAACGCATAAAGCACTACGTGGGCCACTGTTCGTTTGCTTTTTAGGAATACCCTATACCCTCACAAAAAGCATAGACATTGATGGATGTAAGTTCTTTGTTTCAATTTAAGCGAATTAATTCTGACCAAAGCGTCACACAATGAAACTCATCAGATCCAAAGCGCGTTGTTTCGTTTCTGGTTTTAGATTGGGGATTTTCGTGCGATGTGTTTGTGCTGGTTTTATCTCAGTTGCACAATAGGTTTATCACGTCACATTTCTAGGGCAGACGCGTAAA